GGCGAGGACGGGGGCGAGGAGGGTGAGCGCTCACACAGCAGCGTGTGGGTGGGTGGGTGGGTGATTTGTTGGCGTGAAAGGGGGAAAAGCGTGGAAGGGGGAAGCTTGCGGCTGTAGACGGCAGGCGACAATTCAGGCGGCGGCACCCACACATGCGTGAGAACAGCGCTGCGGAGGGCCTCCAGGCGGCACTTCATCTCAAAACAGCGTCTGCTCAGCTCCTTGTAGCGTCGCTCATCAACGTGGTGACGAGCTGCGTGCCCAGCGGTGGGCCCAGTCCCACCAACGCAAACCCGCACCATTCCATCAAACCCTCACCATTGTAACCCAGCCTCCGATGACGACGACGACGACGACGAGGCGGCCGCGGCGGCCGGTGACGCGGTGGCGGGTGACAACGTGCGCCTCAAGGTGCGGCCGGGTGGCGCCAGCGCCAGGCCCTGCAGCCGCGTGTGGCCGCGGCCTGTAGGTGTGTCACGCGGCCCCGCAGGCGTCCACTGACCGCCGGTGCCAGCGGCGGGTGGCTGGCTCTACCGCGTTGCTGCGCGTTGGCTGTGCCAGAGCAGCGGCTGCAGTTGAGGTCCTCCGTTCCCCGCCTGCCCCATCCCGCCCCCACACTCACACGCACTCTCACGCGCACACACGCACACATACACCCACCCACACACACACATATACACTCACACACGCACACACACACACACACACACGCACACGCACAGGGCGCCGTCGCGCGCCACAGGGCCCAGCTCGAGGCCCTCAAGGCGCGCGACCCCGAGTTCTACGCCTACCTGCAGCAGAGCGACGCAGAGCTGCTGGGCTTCGGCGCCGGGGCCGACGACGACGAGGACGCTGACGAGGACGATGCTGACGAGGACGATGAGGAGGACGACGGGTCTGAGGAAGAGGGGCTGGAAAGCGACGAGGAGGGGGACGGCAAGGGGAAGGCGGCCGCTGCGGAGAAGAAGACGAAGAAGAAAGCAGCAAAGGGGGCGGAGGAGGAGGGCAGCAGCGGCGATGAGGAGGAGGAGGCGGCGGCGGAGAAGGAGGGCAGGAAGGCGGCGGTGAACGTGACGAGCGGAATGGTGGAGGTGTGGTGCGCGCGGGCGCTGGAGGGGGCGTCCATCACCGCCATGAGGCAGCTGCTCAAGGCATACAGGTGACCGGACGGGGGGGGGGAGTGTTGGGGACAAAGCTTCGATCAAGCCAGGGGACAGGGGTAGGCAGCGGTGCGCCTCTTGGGTGTGCGCTGCGTGGCAGGGGAGCTTTGTGGGGCAAAGGCGGTCGTGTGCGGGGCTGCCCGCAGCAACGACTGAGGGCATTTGTATGAGGGGTTTGATTTCAGAGGATGTGACCTGGACATCCCCACCCCTAGCATCCCGCCCACAATACCGCACCTCCTTTATGGCAACAGGGTGGCCTGCCACTACGGCGACTCGGAGGCCGAGCTCGACGCTGGCCTGCGCCTGTCCTCCGGCGCCGCCTTCAACCGCCTCCTGCTCTTCGTGCTGCGCGAGGCGGACGGCATCTTCCGCCGCATGCTGCTGCCACAGGACGCCACCGCCGCCGCCGCTGCACCTGCCGCAACCGCCAACGGCGTGAAGAAGGGCGGCAAGGGCTCAAAGAAGGCAGCGAAGGGGGCGCAGGAGGGGCAGCAGCAGCAGCAGGAGCAGCAGCAGGAGCAGCAGAAGGAGCGGCGCCTCGACACGACGGCCGAGGTTTTGAAGAGTCCGAGGTGGAAGAAGGTGGCGGTGCTGGTGAAGAGCTACCTCGGCAACACGCTGCACCTGCTGACCGCCAGCGCAGAGGCGGCGATGCTGGCGTTTGTGCTGCGGCGGCTGCGGGCGAGCGCGCCGTTGTTGGGGCCGTTTGCGAAGATCCAGCGGCGGACACTGAGGGCGGCCCTGGGGGTGTTTGGCAGCGCCGACAACGCACCGCGCGTTCAGGTGGGCGGGGCGGGCGGGGCTTCGAGATGGTGAGGGGTGCGCTGGTTGTTTGGGTGTCGGGCGCTAAGGGGTTGCCTGAGCCCGGGCCGGGGTGCGCTTTGCGAGGCGGCGACGGGGTGAGCCTGCCCACGGCGGTGCCACGGGCGTCCCCAACACGCCACAGGCTTGCAGCCATGCAGACTGCCACCGTCCTGCTGTTCCCCAACCCGAACCACACCTCGCCGGACCCCTGGATTACACGTATACATACACACCCACCTCTCGCCCCTCCCAACCCTAAAATTCAAACCCTAAACCCTAAACCCTGACCCCCCCCACAGGCCATCCTGCTGGTGCGCGCCATCGCGCTGTCCTGCCCGCCCCCCGCCCTGGATTCCTGCCTGCGGGGGACCTACCGCGCCTTCGCCCAGAACGCCAAGTTTGTGACCGCGGCCAGCCTGCCCCACATTCACTTCATGGGCGCCGCGGTGGTGGAGATGACGCGGCTGGACGCGGGTGCGGCGCCGGTTTCATTTCGGGTTCAGGGTTGACTGTCAGCGGTACAGGACAAGGGGTTGAGGCGCGGTCTTGCTGGGCTGCTGTGTGGTGGAGTTTTGGATTTAGGCCCCCACAACTCCATTGTTTCTTTCTTCAATCATTTGTCACACCAACCAACAAAACCTCAACTCCGCCGCTGCCTTCCTCACCGCCCCGCAGCCGCGTCGTACCAGCTGGCTTTTGGTGCTGTGCGGCAGCTGGGTGTTCTGCTGCGCAACGCGCTGACAATGAAGGACAAGGACTCGTTCAAGGAGGTGTACTGCTGGCAGGTGGGGGG